GGCTCCGGCGATCCTTGCGCCTCAGCCTTCCGAGTAGCTGGAACTACAGGCGCGCACTACCACGCCTGGCTAGTTTTTGATTTATTGTAGAGACGAGGTCTCGCCAAGTTTCCCGGGTGGGTCTCAAACCCGCAAGCTCAGGCAATCCACTCACCTTGGTCTCCCAAAGTGCTGGGATTACAGGCTGAACCACCGAGCCTGGCCCCCTTTTTTTTTTGAGTTGGGTCTCACTCTGTTGCCCAGGAGTGCAGTGGAATGATCATGGCTCACTGCAGCCTCAACCTCCTGGGCTCAGGCGATCCTTCCGCCTCAGCCTCCCGAATAGCTGGGACTGCGTGCCACCACGCTTGACTAATTTTTTATAGAGATGAGGTCTTGCTATATTGCCCAGGGCCAGGGGTGCATATTTATTGCAAGAAAACATAGTAACATGTAAGCAAGAATAGTAACATGCTAGCCTGGGCATCATAACAAGACCTCATTTCTTTTTCTTTATCTTTCTTTCGAGCCAGAGTGTCACTCTGATGCCCAGGCTGGGCCTCCTGGGCTCTGGTGATCTTTCTGCCTCTGCCTCCCAAGTAGCTGTAGATACAGGTGCACGACACCACAACCAGCTAATTTTTTGTTTTTGTAGGCAAGTTTCGCTATGTTGCCCAGGCTGGTCTCCCAAAGTGCTGGGATTATAGGCATGAGGTACTGTGCCCACCAGTGAGAACTCGCTTCTTCATAAAGTTAGCTGGGCATGGTGTCATGTGCCTGTAGTTCCAGCTACTTGGGAGGCTAAGGCGGGAGGATTGCTTGAGCCCACGAGGTAGAGGCTGCAGTGAGCCATGACGGTGCCATTGCACTCCAACCTGGGCAGCAGAGTGAGTCACTGACTCAAAAAAAAAAACAAAAACCGTAAAATGGAATTGCTTACAATCTGTGAAAAGCAGATTTTTGGTCCCATTTTGTCACTCAGAAACTTGTCATGATGTCAAGTCATGATAATATCATAATAACAGGAAGAATAATAATCATGGCTCATCAAAACAACAGTTGTTTTTATTAGAAAAATAATAGAAATAATGAATGGAATAAAAATATTAACAATAATACAAACAGAGGCCAGACCTGAGGCGGTAGCTCACACCTATAATGCCAGCACTTTGGGAGGCCAAGGTGGGAGGATTGCTTGAGACCAGCCTGGGCCACATATGTCTACAAATACAAAAAAATAAGAATAAAAACAATTAGCCATATGTGGTAATGCATGCCTGTAGGTCCAGCTATTCAGGATGCTGAGGCAGGAGGATCACCTGAGCGCAGGAGGTCAAGGCTGTGGTGAACTGTCATCAACAACAACAACAACAGAAAAAAACCCCAAAATGGCAGTTTTCTTATGCTGGCCCTGTTCACTTAGCCCACAGCGGAGATGTGGACACTGAGGCTCCCGTGGTGGGTGGCAGTGAAGAGATGGAGCCCCGGCCGTCTCGCCTGGGTTTTGCGCTCTCTCTGACCGCAGCATGGGCGAGCTTGTCAGAGTCTAAAATATTGTTTCATTTCCTGCAGGCCTTCCAGTCGAAACACGACTTTGCCATTTGAAAGTCTTAAAAATAAAACTCAAACTGCAGCCGGCTGCCCATTGCGAGCTGCCCCAGGATCTGGGGGCGAATGGGGTGGTGGGGGGTGCTGCCTGCCTGGGCCGTGAGCTTGCTTCTCCACAGCCTTGCCCTGGGGCTGTCCCTTCCCCTGAGTCCCTGGCCCTAGGTCCCAGGGCTCCTGTCCTAATCAGGGAGAAGAATGCAACTTCGGAGCCCTGGCAGGCGTAGGGGTCTCCCTAGGGTGTTAGGAGAGAAAAGATGTGGATTTGAGAGCCAGGTGTGGGGGATCTAAATACAAACCCCTGGCTGTAGACTGCTGGGGGCAGCTTGGTGACTTGGGCAAAGCCCATGTGTGTTGGGGGAGGGGAGCTGGGGGAGCCATTTTCTTTTCCTGTAAATATTTTTATTCCCGGTAGGAAGCAGTCTGCAGGTCCCATTGTGTGAGCACAATGGCTCTCCTTTTCTAGGAGTGTTTCTGTTTCCCCTTGAAGAGCAGGCCAGAGCTCGCAGAGGGGACACCCCTGAAGCGTTCCGAGGTCAAGACGGACAGGAGGCTGGGCACAGGGGCTCATGCCTGCAATCCCAGCACTTTGGGGAGCCAAGGCGGGAGGACTGCTTGAGTCCAGGAGTTCAAGACCAGTTTAAGACCTTGCAGCAGAGCAAGACCTCGTCTCTAAAAATGAAAAATTAAAAAAATTAGCTGGACATCGTGGCACGTATCTGTAGTCCCAGCTACTTGGGAGGCTGAGACAGGAGGATTGCCTGAGCCCAGGAGGTCCAGGCTGTGGTGAGCCATGATTGTGCCACTCACCTTGGCCTCCCAAAGCCCTGGGATTACAGGCTGAGCCACTGAGCCTGGCCCATCATATTTATTTTAGAATGAATAGAATTTGTCAAGAAGCAGAGAGGAACGCTACATTCCCCCGAGCTCCTTCCATCCAAAACAGCCTCTCCCGTGTGGCGTCTGTCTGTCTCTTCCAGAAGCTTCCTGGCGCTTGTCTGCTCAGGAAGCCCTTGTGCCTGGGTTGCCATAGCTTCCGCTTGGGCTCCCACCCCTGGTCTGTGGCCCCCCCATCCCCAATAATTCAGTCCACGGGACGCCAGATCCTCGTAACGGTGGTCACAGAGGCCCCTGAGTGTTGTGTGCCGACTCTCACTGTTCCCGTTGTATAGATGAGGAAGCCAAGGCCCAAAGAAGTGACAGGACAGGCCGCGAGTCAGGCAGAGCCAGGGCTTGGGAGGAGGGTCTGGGCGCTTCTGTGGCCCACGCAGGTCAGCAGCCTGACAGGACGTGGATCAGACCCCACGCACCCCGGGGCTGATTTTCCCTGCACTCTCCCCCAGATTCAGGGAGGCCATCGCGTCAGCCGTCAGAGCTGGGGAGGCTCTCTGGAGCTCCATCATTCAAGTTTTCCTCGCCCTGAGGGGAAACTGAGGCTGAGAGCTGGGGAGAGACTTGCCCAGGCCCTGGGGTCCGTGCGGTGGAGGCTGCAGCCAGGAGCGGGTGATGGAGCCGTGCCTGCCTGGGGCCGGGGTGGAGTGGGAGACGCTGTCGGTGGCTGGGTCCTGAGTGGCTGCCTGGCCTGGGTCCGAGGCCTGGTCACCGCCCGAGCCCCCACTCTTCTCTGCCGAGCGTGTGAGCTGCCGCCCAGCCTCAGAGGCTTTGGGGGGATGCGGCGAGGTTGGGGTGGAGGTCGGGAGCACAGGCAGCGCCGGCCGGCCGTCGCTTTCCCCAGGACCCGTCTCCCGGCAGCGGGTGGCCGGCCTCACGCCCCTCTGCCCGCAGGTGCCGCTGGACGAGCGCATCATCTTCTCGGGGAACCTCTTCCAGTACCAGGAAGACAGCAAGAAGTGGCGGAACCGCTTCAGCCTCGTGCCCCACAACTACGGGCTGGTGCTCTACGACAACAAAGTGGTGAGCCCGCCCCCTCC